ACGCGGGATAACTCGCCAACCGGTCGGGGTACGCGCGATACGGATACGGTTACGCGGATCGTAGTCTTCACAGCGGACCTCTTGCACGGTGCCGTCGCGCTGCCGTGCCCACAGGAATACGGGGCGCAAGCGTGGTGCGGGGTGCGCGGGCGGCGGGGCTTTCTCGGCTAGGTCGCGACAGGCCAGGCTGCGCGCGCGGCGCCGGCCAGCTGCGGGGGCGCGGGGAGGGTGAGGGGCGCTGCGGCTCCGGCCGGCAGCGGCATCGGCGCGGGGGCGGGCGGCGCGAGGCTCGCCGCCGCCGCCGGGCGCCCGCGGAGACACTCCGGCGCGCCGCACCGCGGGATCAGGCGACGACCGCGCGGACGCGGCCCCGAGGCGGACTGGCGGCCGCGCGCGCGCGCGCCCCGCCCCCCGCCGCCCGCCGCGCCCGCCCCGCGCCCGCTCCGCCCAGCGATCGATCGCCCGCCCGCTGCACCCGCCGCCTGCACCCGCATGTAAACACGGCGCGCGCCCCGACCCCCGCGACGCCGCGTTTACGTGGCCTCGTTAATCTTAAATCCATATCTGCGGCGCTCGGAGTACGCACGCCGGCCGTGGCACGCCCCCGGCACTAGCACGTGCACCGCACCACAATCACATCCTCACTGGACCATGCCACACTATTAAAATGAGCCCCCGAACCTTAGTCTACCCTTACGTTTCAGTATAGCTAGAAGCAACATTGTCAAGTCGATGTCAGAACACACTGAAAATTATCACAGAGAATACAGTTTCACAATATCGGAGGCATATATGTACAGGATATGGAAGGGTGGTATAGTGTCGGTTTCATCAACATGTGTAGGTTGAGGCGCGTACTGTCGCGGTTAGGAAGGTTCAGTGTTCGGGCGCGGGAGATCGATACAAGCCGCGAGTGGTGCCATCTCCCCGGCGGGCTACACTACGTCTCTACGCACGGACCGTGGCGCTGTACTTACTCGTGTCTTTACTCTTCGTGGGTAGATGGAGCTCGTACACAAGAATTATTTTATCTACCTATACATACTTATCTATATATTTACCTATATATATTTTTACTTTTAAAGGGCGCTTAGCTTTTTGGAAAGTGTGAGATTCTTACTTCACTAAAACCATCATCACTTATGTATCTGCCTACATAAAATATATATATTAAAAATCTATGTAGAAAGGTACCGAATTGTCAATTATTCACATACAGTACAGTAGATACCTAATATACAGGCAAACATATAGGGAAGTTAGATGACTTGAGACCTAAGTATTAAAATAGTCACAAAAATTTATCAATGTCAGAACTTAACTTGGTATTGGATAAAAGACTTACCGCCGCACTTAGAGTCATATTGGTTACAACTGGTCAAGACCCAAGCGGTCACCGGTGACCGCTCTCCACTCACTGCACGATGTTTAGATCCTATTTTTTATCTTAAAACTCATGAGCAGCATTCCGTGACCCTCTGAGTATGAGCCTCTAGCATGGCTTGAAACTGGTCGAGTTTCTCGTCAAACAGTTATGTGAGTAAACCGAAGACATAATAATAATAATTACTTTTGTATGAACAAATTTTGGGGATTTTCGGTGCAATATTTCGAGTCTTAACCCAGTCCTTAGCAATTGGTTTTTGAACACAATCATAACTGAGGTATTGTTGTAAGTAATAATTACATGTATTTGAATACGTACGGTACTTACTCACTCCAAGAACTTATAAGAAATAATGTTATGTCAGCTTTTCCAAGCTTCATTGTTTAGTCAAGTCACCAAGTCGAACAGAAACATGGCACGGACGTATCATCCCTTTCTGGAACAATTCAGGCCATTTTCGACCCACTATAACTAAGATGTGAAGCTGTGTGGATAAAACTAAGCCTGAATGTTTATAAGCCAAACAGGCATTTTATAAATACGGTGTACTCACTCACTCACCGACCAAACATCAAAACCACCCCTAAACCTTATCTTAACTAAGAGTTACTTAGCTTGACGTTGCGCTAAAATTGACCTCTTACTTGTACTGTTAGGTTTTACTTGATAAAAACTAAACCCTATCTTCCCTATCGCCCTATCTTAGCTTAGGGGTTCCTTAAAATTTAGGAGAGGTGAAAACGGGCAGACTGACTTACTGATAGGACCAGAGGATACCGGAAAGGAATTTTAGGAAAACGGACAGGCTCTGACTTACTGCTATGACCAGAAGATACCGGAAAGGAAATAAGTAAGACTACAAAAAGAAATAAGATTAAAAAACTCTATTTGTCAAAAAACCAAGTATCTCAATTCAATATTTCTAGTTACCGTAAAAAGTTGTGAGATCCATGTAATACCAAATCAGTTATAATGTTAAATTATTTATTAAATCTCTACCTAAAGAACCTCCGGTCTTGGGGTAGATTGACTGGACCACTGACCTCGTATATCCAATTATAAGTACTAATGGGCTATCGGCATACAAATAGAGTTCAAATTACAATGATAGATGGCAACGCAGAGTGCTCTAGACTTTTCAAACAATTGAACACAATTTACACTTTAATACATTGACAGTAAAGTATGCTTTGCGATAATACTAATAATACAGGCAACTATAAAGCAATAAAAATCTAAAACACATTAAATAAATTTGTTTATTTATATTTATTATGACTAGACACAGCAAGTACAATGTTTACAAATATTAATACTACAATTTGATGGAATACTATTGTATTTTATAGATAAATAAAAACAATCTATTATAAATACATAAAAATAATTTTCGTACAAAAAGGAATGTTACATTAAAATAGCGATATACAACTATACAAATCATAATACATTTCGTAATACACAAATACTACATTACATGTACGGCATTTAAAATATTTTAATATAACACAACAATTATTAACAATATTTAACTCCATTCAGAGTTGGAAGTCTCGACAGTAATACTGGTTACATCTAGCCACAGCACAGTCGAGACTACACAATCGTTACGCCAAAAGTTAAATTAATAGGCTTTCAACTCTATCTCCTTCTCCGATAAAGTTGAAAATCTATTGACGACTAGCTTCTGCCTGCGACTTCGTTCGCGCAATTCCATTTCTCCCATTCCCGTAGGATTTTCAGGACTTTTTCTGTCTTATGAACCTTTTCCTGACGACAGCAAACACAACAAAAAAAATCTGCCAATTCGGTCTAGCCCTTCTCAAGTTATGGCGTGACAAAGGGAAAGGGGTTTCATTTTTTTATACCTATATAGATAGTTACGACATACCGACCAAATTATGTTATTACTAACATTGGGACTACCTTCTGGCGACACTAATGTGTTGACATTTTTTATGTGTTTTCAAGTGCGTAGCTGCGCCTGAATGTGTTTGTCGTTATTAATGTCGAAACTTCCAGCCCATCCTCTATCCTACCTCCCAACTATTTAGTAGTTCACTGCTGATATATCAGTCTCTGCTTACCTTTAAAACCTTTCTCTCCAATGCCTAAGTTTCAACAAGCTTGTGATTACAAACTACACGTATTTTTTTAGACTGCCTCGTTGGCCGAGTGATCGCATCGCATCGCATCGTGAGGAAAGAAAAAAAAAGGGGTCTCGGGTTCGATTCCCGGGTAAAGTAGTACTGGGTTTTAAAAAAAATCTCAGTAGTAGCACGGAGTCTGGAATTGTGCCCGGTATATGGCAATAGGCTCACCCCCTATTACATGGGACTCATGACATAAATAGTGAAAAGTGGGTGTTACATTGTACAGTGGCATTAAGTACTGTAATGTGCACCTACCTGCCTACCCCTTCAGAGATAAAAAGGCGTGATATTACAGACACACATAAGTGTCTGGGTTTTTAGGTTGGCAGAAACTAAAGCACTATATGTTATGCCTTTAGAAAAGTATCTCAAAGAGTTTCCGATTAGTTGTTACTTATGAAAATGCCTGCCACATCTTTTCCCCTTACGCCCTCACGACACCCCTCACGACAGCATATCCATCCCCATCATATAGATGGTTGGCAGGCCACAACTGTGCGTTTTTCTCGTAGCTTCCTGCCTCGCACAGCAAAACTTTGAAATGATTGGTCGTCGGCGGTATTTCCAAGCCGACAAGACCTTCAAACTTTCAAGAAAAGAGCGTATTCCTTTTAAAAAGCCTGGCAACGAACCTGTGACTTCTCTGGTGTTGTGGGTGTCTATAGGCGGCTGATCACATACCATCAGGTGATCCGTCTGCTCGTTTGCCTAATATTCCATAAAAAATGAACATAACATTTATAATTTAGTTCCAATATCAAAATGTACCGCCTGCCTTATATCTATATGTGCACGCGTGCGACATTGCGTGTATCTTTCTGCCTGGCGCTAAGGCGGAAACCACTCCTGAAATATTTTAAATAAATAATTCTTTGGTTAGCGTTTTTAGTTTATCTATCTATTTTAAGGCCGGCCAACACCAAATAAATTTTATAACTGAGAAATAACTTTGAATATTTGACAACTCTTCCATACTGAAAACTGTCAAATGTTAATTTTATTCAACAGTTAAGAATTAAGTGATAATAAAAAAATCTGTGAAAAATCGGCCCTTAATTATTTATAATAAAATATACTAAGATGTTTTAAATATATTATTTATGCGTCTTATATCTTCTTATATCTATACAGAATGATTGTGTCGTTTAATTTTAAATACACTTTAACTCAAGTTTTAAGACAAGGAATGTTTGATTACTGAAACTGAAAATTATTTTCAAGTATTTATCTTTTCGTAAATTGAATGACTACTGACAACTTATTTCTATTTTACATAAGTAAATATTGTAATAATTTGAGCATTTTATATGAATAAAAAATAAATTAAACATTAAAAAAATATAATCATTAATTTCAATAGACATTTCAGTTTTTTTTTTTGTTAATAGGATAAAAGTTGTCATCTTAACGACCCATACCTACAAATAGATTTCGCTGTTTGCTACTTACTCATTTTGCTACTAATTGTGTAAAGAAGTGTATGGGTTGAAGGGCATGGTGACGAGTTTGTGTTCGTGTATCGCCTTGATGAGGTAGAGCGAGCCGATGGCTATGACGAGCGCGGTGCCCACTGAGATCGCGTGGTAGTGCTCCATGTTGCCAATTGGTATATTCCATACTAGGGTGTCTGTTAACTGGAAATAGTGCGAAAGATATTAGTGTAAGTTTTTGATCAATAATGACATTTTTTTAATAATTATTATTATAGATTAATTCTCCACGGACTCTAGGTCCGTGCCTTTGTCATACGATTTTTTTTATTATAATACATCTAGTCAATTTCTATAAAGTAAAGAGGGAACCTAGTTACACACTACAACTAACTACATCAGTAATGACATTAAAATGGTTGTCTTTCTTCACAACAATGGTGGTGATAGTTTGTAATAAAGAACTTGAAAAGATTTTTTTTAAGTCCCGTAGTGGAACTATCAGTGTGATATGATATGATTTAAATAAAATTTAAGTTATGTAACTGAGACCTCGAATATGCAGTCTCACTAGATATAATTATGTAAACTGTATAATATTGTGAACACGATTGAAAAAGAGTGACCTATGGAGTTTCTTGCTTGTTCTTCTCCATAGGAATGAAACCTAGGAATGAGCGACTAGCTTCACTTTTAAATTTTCGTTGTTGGCATTCAAAAGTGCCTTCCTGGTCTAATTGAAATAAATGATTTTGACTTTAACTTTGACTAATAGACCTTAAGTTTGAAAGATTATAAAGATTTTTTTAGACTTTAGTACAGCAAGCATACAGAATCCATTATCCAGTACCTACTGCGAATGATGATACCAGTTGTTATCTATACATTAAATTGATAACACTGTCGCCAGATTAATGAAGATATATCATCTCATATGTTTACCAATTACGGGACCATACGCTCACTTTGGAGGCGTACGCGGAGCAGAAGAAACCTTTTACTTAAAATAATGAAGTTTCTCTTACCAAGGTGTAGGGCAGTTCCTTCCAACTGCATTTCTCCTTGGAGCTGCCGTTACAGAGGAAGGTGACGGGAGTGGCGGCCTTGTTACACATGTCGAGGCGCTGGTCGGGGCAGCGCAGGTACAGTTTGGGCGGACCTATCGTGTTGCGGGCCATACTGGAATAGACATGAGGATTTTACATATTAATAATCTTATACTATTATATGAAGTAGAATAGTTTGTTTGTTTGTTAGTTTGAATGCACTAACCTCCATAACTACTGGTCCAATTTGAATAGTTCTTTTTGTGCTGGTGCAGTGCATTTATCGAGAAAGGTTATTGTGTATAGAACATCCGGTTACGATCAATAGGTGCCGAACAGGCGGGTGAAACCACGCATCTATCTATCTATCTTCTTTTCTTCTATCTATCTATCTTCTATGTGTTTCGTCGTGTGAGTGAGATTACCGGAGGCCTAATCACCCCCTTCCCCAGTCTCCCCAATCCCCGAATTCCCCACAATCCTCAAATTCCTAATTTCCAAAAGGCCGGTAACGCACTTGAAACGCCTCTGGTGTTTCGAGTGTTCATAGGCGACGCCGATTGCTCAACATCAGGTGATCCGTATGCCAGTTTACCGGCTTATCCCATAAAAAGAAATCTATCTTCTTACTTTTTATCTATTTAAGTAGATAGATTATTATTTTCATACCAATGTAAAAAAACTGTTTAGTATCAACAGAACCTTGTTTAACTTACTCAATTTGAAACTTCCAAACCAACTTGTGATCACAATTCATATGAGACAGTTGAAACAATTTATAGATGCTCGCTCCGGCAGAAGAAATGTTATATTTTTAACATTTAGCCTAATTATTAAGAAATAACAGAACTAACCCCCCACCAGGCGTGGCTAAATGGTACCGAGCATGTACCGGCAGCCACACATGCACCTTGCAGTCCTTGATCCTTTCCGTAATGTATGTGGTGGTGGGATAAGAGTGTTCTGCTGGCATCTCAGTGTTTATACGGGTCTTTGGGACGGCATTCAACTGTAATATAAGTGAAGCTGTGTTAGTATTTAATCATGTATTGTATAGGAACTATTTGTATAATTAAGAGGGAATTTCTTTCACTGCCACATTGGCTGAGTTGTCCAAATTGTGACTGCTGCAAAACGGACTGTGCGACTGCTCACTCCTATTACACTCATAACATAATTAGTGAGTGAGTGTTACATTGTATTTGTTGTGTTGTTGTTGTGGCATTATAAAGTGCCGTAATATACGGCTCTGCCTATTTTTTTGGGCATAAAAGGTGCGGTGTTATGCTATTGTATTCTATCACCTTGAATCTTGATTAGTTATGGACACTCACCTCTAACTATTATATTTACCAATAGAAATTACTTTCAAAAGATGTAGTACCACCAAGCTGTTGTTAGAAAAGACATTTTTTAACTCCTAACCCATATATCCCCAAGCAGTCACCAGTGACCGCTCTCCTCTAATAATACATTACATTATAGACCTTATTTCCAATATTTAGAGACTACTTTTGTATGACCAAATTTAGGGGATGGATTTCAACGTGTTAAAAGCTAACAAAAATACTCATATTAGAACAAATCTAGTTTTACAGTAGTAGCAAACATGGGTTCTTTACTAATACAAACAGTGTGCCTGTTAAAACAATACCTTCAAATTGATAAGTAATATTGGTCATAGTTACCTTCTTTAGCCGTCTTAGAGTGCTGAGCTCATCAGGGTTGGCATAGACTCCATGCGGCAATGTCTGGTCCAGTCCGACCACACAGTCCTTGTACAGCCAGCAGTTGTCATCATCAGTGTTGAACACAATGCCATAGGATATGTTCCTGTAACATTAATATGGCAACATTTAGTATTTCCACGCTTAAATTTATTTTGAAAGCTGCTGAGACATTCTTATTAGAAAGGGATAGTTGAGTTAGACTTAATGGGTTTTATCCTTCAAGCAGAAGTTTTAGCAAGTATCAGAAACTATACAAGTTTAATGGTCTTCGTACATATTTGTTTAGTTTTACACCTTAATTACAAACAATATTATTATTTATGAGTAGATTTAAGCGTGTGTGTGTTATTACTTTATTACTTACCTGTGGAACCCTTGATTTTTGAGAACTTGCTTCAATTTAACGTTAAAGTTACAATGGTTTGCTGTAACATACCCAAAATAAGCGAATAACAAAATAAAACCGAAATGTAAGTTTTTATTCCTAAAAGGACGCAACATTGTGACACTATAATAAGGCGACTTTTTTATTATGCAAGCCTTAAGATAAAAGACATAGGTTTATAGATTTTAATTCATAATTTAACACAAAAATAAAGGCGAATTTTATCAATGAAGAATCAATGATAACAATATCAAGTTAATGACAATCATAATCTGACATATTATATTTCAAGCATGTGTAAAAAGAGACAGTAATCAAAATTTGTAAGGTAAGAAAAAGATAGAAATATCGACTATTGTATAAAATCACAAACACATAAACTGGAACGGGAAAACTGTGTTTGACAGTGATCGTTACATTGACATTGCACAAAATGACAGTTCAGGAAAATGTTGCCATCCCTAATATTTAATTGTAGTGTCACTGGTCGAAATGTGCTGAAAAAATTTTAAAAGCCATTCTGGGGTAAAAAGCAAAAATAACTTTTTTTAATATATAAGTTTATGGCTATGACCTTTTTTTTGATAATGTTAGCCAGTACACGCGGACTTTTATTGTTTTTTTTTAATAAATGAAGGTTTAGTATTTATTTTACTCGGGTATTTGGGGCGTGCGTTACCCCAACAAGAAAGTATCTCCTAGAGATATATGAGTAGAACGTATAGTTGGTGCCTTATCTGCTATAAATGTGCCCCCACTTAAAAAATGTGTGCCCCCTGTCGTTTTGAAAAAAAAACGGAAAAACGATTCTTGCTGGGGTAACGTTTTTCTAGCAGGAAAATTCTAAACGAGTGATCGGAGAGAGAAAAAATGTACATGGCCAGAGAGCTTATATGTGTGCCACTATGTGCCCCCAAAAATAAAATCTGTGCCCCTTCAGATTTTCGGGATATTGCGTTTCCTGCTGGAGTAACGTTTTGATGAATCGTATATCACTAAAACCATTGCATGTGCCCCTGTAGAATAAACATACACGAGTAGCTCTTAATGTGTGCCCCTGTGTGCTCCAATTAGATTTAAGGAAATATTTATAGTTTTCAAGTTATCGCGGTTTTATGAAAATCCGAAAAAACATCGTAGCGCCTAAATGAGACAAGGTATAAGTTCGCTGAAAACTGTATTCGGTCCTTCTTGATGCTAATAATAACCATACAAAGTTTCAAAACGCTTCATGCATGCGTTTTTGAATAATCTTGCTACAAGTCAAAACGATGGTGTCATAACTTTGACGGCAAAATACAAGGAACTGGCTAAATCCCAGATGTGTAGGTGTAAACCAAAATCATGTGCCTTTAATCAAAAATATGTGGTGAAAATATTGAGCTTGGAATGTTTCGCATTAAGTAAATATAAACAAGAAACCAAATTAAGTAAACAACGGCTGGTTATCCGACCAAATTTGAATGACTACTAAAAAGCGACGGATTCATACATATCGATGACCTTCTTTATTGGACGTATTATACCTAAGCTGTTGTCCGTGCAGTTGCGTTCAAAAGTTTTGGGGGCTAATTAAAAAATATATTAAATGCAGCTTGTGACTATAATAATCCAACTCGACGGTCCACAATGGAAATTTTAGCCAAAGTACTTAATGAAAAAAAATCCAACTATTTCATAAGATACAAGTTTTTTATTTATTTATTTACTTATTTACATTTACCATTACAGGATGACCCAATGCGATAAATGCGAACTATTTAATCCTGACTTATTGCTTATAACTAATTACAAACAAAGCATTCCTTGTGAATTCACTCAGAGAACAGTAAAATAAATGCGTCTCACTCGCTATGAGGTTGAGCGTGCGGAGCGTACGCGTGAGCGGCGCCTCCTTTAGAAGGTTAGTCCGAGAACGCGGTTCCACCAGCAGTCGTGGCTGTCGTCGTCGCCACACGTACCTGTCCGGAACATACAGACTCACCTGGCTTAAAATAATTGCATTATACACTTTTCCTAGTACCTACTTGTAAATTCAAGTTTTTGTAAATAATTCAAAATAAAGATATTAAATACTTACCATCGCAGATAGTGCACTGAAATTCACCATAACAACCACATAGTTGTTATAAAATGATTAAATACGCCACTTTCAACCAACTTAAAAAGGTAAACAAACAGTATAAGTGCAACTGCGTGACTCAACATAACAGTGTCCTTAGCGTCATTACATAACTGCAACTGTTTACTAATAAAAAGTAATAATCTAAACGCACTTCCTAGTCAATAAACACTTTGTACATAGGTACAAAGTGTTTAGTGTATGGATTATATTCTACTATAAAGTGAATAATAGTATTCACTAGTAGAATATAATCCAATAACAACTTTATTTTATTCTTTATTACTTTTCTACTTCAGTGTACTCAGGCACAACACGTGTGAACCGGTTAGTAAGTAAAATAAAGAAGGTCATCGATATGTATGAATCCGTCGCTTTTTAGTAGTCATTCAAATTTGGTCGGATAACCAGCCGTTGTTTACTTAATTTGGTTTCTTGTTTATATTTACTTAATGCGAAACATTCCAAGCTCAATATTTTCACCACATATTTTTGATTAAAGGCACATGATTTTGGTTTACACCTACACATCTGGGATTTAGCCAGTTCCTTGTATTTTGCCGTCAAAGTTATGACACCATCGTTTTGACTTGTAGCAAGATTATTCAAAAACGCATGCATGAAGCGTTTTGAAACTTTGTATGGTTATTATTAGCATCAAGAAGGACCGAATACAGTTTTCAGCGAACTTATACCTTGTCTCATTTAGGCGCTACGATGTTTTTTCGGATTTTCATAAAACCGCGATAACTTGAAAACTATAAATATTTCCTTAAATCTAATTGGAGCACACAGGGGCACACATTAAGAGCTACTCGTGTATGTTTATTCTACAGGGGCACATGCAATGGTTTTAGTGATATACGATTCATCAAAACGTTACTCCAGCAGGAAACGCAATATCCCGAAAATCTGAAGGGGCACAGATTTTATTTTTGGGGGCACATAGTGGCACACATATAAGCTCTCTGGCCATGCACATTTTTTCTCTCTCCGATCACTCGTTTAGAATTTTCCTGCTAGAAAAACGTTACCCCAGCAAGAATCGTTTTTCCGTTTTTTTTTCAAAACGACAGGGGGCACACATTTTTTAAGTGGGGGCACATTTATAGCAGATAAGGCACCAACTATACGTTCTACTCATATATCTCTAGGAGATACTTTCTTGTTGGGGTAACGCACGCGTATTTGGGACCTAACAAGCAGCCGTCTGGTTGTTATTCATTATTGGTACTTGGATGCTGTTCCCTGATTTTCTCAAGTATTTTTTATTTTGCACACATCTTGTTCCTGTTATTACAAGAATATAAACAATTAAATAAGTATCTTATTTGGTAGGTACTGCAGCCATGCGAAAAAAGGTAACATACCATATGCAGAATAATCTTGTACACTTTATAACTTTAATTCTAAATAAATGCCAGGTGCTAAGTACGTTACAGGGAAAAACGAATATTTTAAAGGCCATCATAAAGAAATGATGACCTTTTATATGATAATATGCGGATATTGTGTGAAGGTAGGTCTGTCCTAAGGGGAGGTCACCTGCCTCTGACAACGTAGGTAGGTCACCGCCTCGCCGTCAACCAGTCTGCGCTTATTGCATATCTAAAGTTGTTGATGACTGAGAGAGGATCGAATAATGAGGTACCAAGCTCTCACGACCATAGCGTCATATAGTAATTTTTGAAAAAGTTTTGGGATGTAGGTTTTTCTTATACTGAATTTTTTCATTGATTGAGGTCGAAGGGTGCGATGTGCATGCACGATTGTTCTTTTGCTAGAGCATTGACTACGGCAGGTACATGTCGCGTTGTCGTCGTCGGGTATCGTGAGTTCGAACCTGGCTTTTGTCAATTTGTTTCATACCAATAAATGGAATTTACACCAGTTGAAAACAGATCTACCCGGAAATCTAAATGGTGTCTCGATGGGAGCTATTAAACACAGAAATGGTGTGATTAAAATATGTAGCATGTATAAAAGGCGTGGCCAAATAGATGAGTACTAGTATAGCCTAATAAACAACAAGGGGTGCGACATGGAAATGAGGTCATGCCTCTAGGCTGTAGGCCTTCGCAAACAGACCTGACGACACTCGCGACTTTGGCTAAACTTTCCACTTTAAATGTTAAATTGCTCAAAGAATGTTTGACAACAAACTAATCGATCGCCTGTTACATAACAGTGCCGAAATATGTACCTACACCGTCGCCGAGTCACCAGGCCCAGATCTGCTGAATGAATGCAACGAAGGTTCTACGGAGTATTGCAACATTCGAACTGCTGAGTCGTCTCCTCTCATCGCCGCCTTGTGCCCAGCTATGAATCGCTACATCATCGTTCACCCCACTAGTTTTAAGTAAACGTTCAAAGTAACTATTACATATCACAACATAACAATAATTGAATCTCGAAGCCGTCGGTTGAAAGGAGCCATCTAGTGACTTCAGAGAACATTTTTTTGCCATCTCAGATCTCTTCCCAAAGATGCTATAAGAGCTGATTAGCTAAACTGTGACTGGATATCGCAGTCTGCGATCTCCGATCTGCCTGGCAATAGAGATTATGACAATCCCATTATTTTATAATGCTGGCACTCATTTTGTGACGCGAACTTCTATGAACCACAATGGCTTTAAATACACATCACATCTACCTCGTTTAAGAATGTTTCTTCTTTAGATATCGCACCATAAGAATGCTATGCCTAAGTAATTAAGAATGTCTATATCTCTAATCTCTATATCAAAATATTCTTTTATTCTTTAAAAATGATTGTTTAAAACACAAGGAACAAACATACAAAACGTACAATACATTCTGGCATTTGTTTGACCACATGCGTGTGTCAATCAATTACTTATATTATTTTAATTGTCTTTAGTATCATAACAAAATTACTTAAATACCTTTTTATTTAATTATGCAAGGGATTGGCTCTATAAATTATTTAGTTTTGAGGGTGTAACCTCATAATTTGGTGGTATGACGTGGGTTAATCAAATTGGGGTTTATGAGGGGCGTGTAGTAACTATTTTGGATTTTTTTGTTGGGAACTTCCCATCTGAGTCATACTTACCAGTAGTTTGTCTACGCCTGCATGAACCATTCTAACAGTTCCATGAATAAATGTGGTTATGAGACATAGGTATCATTTGAACTTAGAGTTGTCGTAAGCATTTTTTTTTTGTAAGTACCTATTTGATGAGCTGAAGTTTGACCATTATCGATACTACGATGGAGCACGTCGAACCATAAGCATTGTTTAATATAGCAGTCTAATACATAAATAGGATCTAAATAATAATTACAAAGTACCTATGATGAGAAAAGATAAGATTTATTTCTATAATAAAACTTTAGCTATTTTAATTTCCTAACTCCCCTCGGTGATAGGCAGACTTGCACATAAAAAAGAAACAATGGTAACCCACTTTTCAATAATACCTACTTTGTTCGACCTGAGAATCCTTACTCAGAAGACCAAGAGTTCAAAGATGTAATCAATAGGATTTTTAACTAAATTAAAAAAAAAGTATAAATCTTCTTCTATACTATTTATAATTCTAAAGATAAAAAGTTTTTTTTAACGCTCTAATCTCGGAAACTACTGGTCCAATTTGATCAACTCTCTTTGTGTTGGATAGTTCATTTATCGAGGAAGGTTATAGGCTATCAAACATCACGCTACGATGAATAGGAGCTGAGCAGAGCGGGTGAAACCGCGCGGTAGTAGCTAGTACAAAATATGTAGGTAAGTATTTAATCATTAGGTGGTCTGTGTTAGCTTAATAGAAGTTTATATGCTACGTTTAAGTTGAGGATAATTATAATGTTTACAAGTTATTGAGATTCAAATCCGGCTCTTTATTGTCCCATTTTTTAAATTAGTTTTCGTGTATTTTATTATTTGATATTGTACAGGTACATGCCTATCGATACTAACACAAGTGATTGTGTTGTAAGCACACCGGGTGGAAGGGATTTTTTTTGAACAGGCCTCCGAATGATTATTCTTCCTTCAGAATGACTTTGTTCTCTGCATAAGAGATACTGTACCTATTATACCAAAGTTCTAATATACCAATACAGGTGCTCTTTCACACGGATATGGTGGTATAGTAAATTAGCGCACGTAACCGATGAGAGGTCAGGCGAAAAACCAACAGATTGCAGTCAAAATCACGAACTAATTATTTAATGTACCTACTGGTAGCCTCAAACTAGTAGTGAAAATCTAGCGAGTTACAATCAACGTTTAATGGTAGGTAAATCAGAAACTAATTAAAGGCAATTCTTTACAGCAGTAGCCAATTAATAGATTTGTAAAGAAGGCACAATTATACCTACTTAAATTACTCGATGACCTTAGTCGTTTGCAGGTCATGTTGTTGAGGTCTTATTTTAATTAAATACACACAACACACATCAACAGCCTTTAATGCCCACTGCTGAGCAAAGCTTCTTCTCATACGAAGAAGGTTTGAGCATTAATCACCACACTTGTTCAATGCGGGTTGGCGATTTCAAACTTATACTTCTAAATTATAAGCCCAGGTTTCCTCAAGGTGTTTTCCGTCACCGTTTATCAGTGGTGTCTGAATAATCTTAGAAAGTACATATAACTCGGGAAAGTCACATTGGTACTTGCCGTTGGTAGGTTTCGAACCCGTGCATGCAAAAGCGGGTGTCTTAAACCTCCAGGCTACCACGACACACGACATATTTTAAACTAGCTTATACCCGCGGCTTCGCTCGCGTCACAAAAGAATAAAAAGTAGCCTATGTGACATAATTATACCATTACACACAGCGCCATCTATACCAATACTTTTGTTTTTCCTCGGAAATATCAATTTTTCCGGGTTAAAAAGTACCATATTATTTAATCCGGACTTCTAACTTTACGTCTGCAAAAATTCAAAGCAATCGGTTGAGTAGTTACGGCGTGAAGGTGGAACAAACAAACTCACTTTCAGATTTATAATATTATATTAAATATTAAATATATTAAATATTAATATTATAATATTATATATAGTAAGGATTAGTAAGGACTAGTAAGGATACATAGTTGCTGAATATAGAAATAACCCAAAAGCGTTGGGCACAATGATTGTGCAGGAGACATTTGCCACCAATCGTTCGGTGAAATTACTGGTGAGAGGCACCTAACATTAAAAAAGACTTACGCATCGTCAGACCGCAAGCAATACTTGACTCGGTTTCCTGACATTTGTTATGTAAAAGAGCATAACCATTACATTACGGTTTATGTTCATAACAAGAAAATGTCTTCGAGAATTCCAAGTGCCGGTGTCGGCCGTGTCGGTAACTCGGTACCCTGCCGCACCGACTACATTGCTGCTTTACTACGGGGCAATGACTCAATCCTCGTAATCAAATCACAACATTGGCGGTCTCTTTCGTTCTGTATGAGGAAAAAAAGGTGCGAAGTATATTTTTAAAAGTAAAGCGAGATTGATGCTGGTGGTAGCCCCGTTGAGCGAGGCAATAGGCGGTTTAGCTTGTTACCTCAGCCTGGCTCAGTTCGCGTCCCGCTATTCCGCCGGTCGGTTGTGTGTATCGTTCGTTCAAATTATTGCTACGATCTTTTCAAACTTAGTGCTTGTTACATCGACTTTTATTCGTGTTATCGGAGGCATACCTAGGTGAGTGTAATTGTAACTTTTAATTAATTCGATAAGGTAAAATGCAGCGTGCACTGATTAACGGTGCTTGCTTCAAATTTCTTGTAAAGGACGCCGTTAGACTTTTTTTGCAATGAGTTTTTGGGGGAAAGGATCCTTAAATGAGATCTAAAGTTAATATAAGTTATCACCTATGTAAAGTTTGCATAGATACTAAGTCTAGTTGACTAATAAGAATCTGATTAGCAAGTAACCTAGTTTTTAAATGGAACTAGTTAGTTCAAGTATAGTTTAAAGTTATTAGTGCAACATTATCACCCACACTGGTCCTAAAGCGTGTCGCATTGCTAAATATTCTTTTAGCATGTTCAACACCTACATTAACATTTTATTTTTGGCAAATACTTTTGCATAATCAAAGAAGATTTTAATAAGATTTAGTATCTAATATTTTAATGTATTCATTGGTAAATTATGTCATCATACCTATCTAGACATAGTATCAAAAAAAAGCTACAAAAAATTTGCGTGACTCAGGTCGTAAAACAAGGACCCTCCTCATCTGCGCGCCCTTTTGACTTTCACGAAGTCTGGAATGGCGATGAGTCATCCTTTAAAAAGTGGCCATTATCCTTTAGACATACAGAGAGGTAATAAAACCTCATTTTCAAAACATCACCATTGTTTTAAATGTGACGTGCTGAGAATTGAATTAATCAACATTATGTGTAATGAGGAGTTGAGTGTTACGTAGATAGCTGGGAGATAAACACTTATAAAATAACATGCAATACATAGATGGCTTCTTCTTATTATGCATAATATCACGCCCTTCAATCTGCTAAGGAGTGGATATCTTTGCCAGAGTCTGTATTTCCTGAAGGGAAAAAAGATAACCTGGGTGTCTTGTCTTTAAGGCCCGATTGAATAGGTTGCTTATGGGTCGACATGCTCTATCGTAGACCGCATCATTGCTTACCGAATATAAAAAAATACTCCAAAGAGATAGGAAGTGGTAAACATAGTAATTACAAAGAGGTGTACATTGCACTTACAATGTAACATCCACTGTGATAGTTCCTATTACGTTACAAATTCCACGAAAACACCTCAACAATAACTGCCTAAAAAGGTTTTAAATTTTTCAGAATATTCCGAGTTATATGTACTTTCTAAATTTATTTAGACACCACTGACAAACGGTGAAGGAAAACATCGTAAGGAAACATGGACTTATAATTTCTAATTATAGGTTTTAAATCGCCAACCCGCAATGAGCAAGTGCGGTGATTAATGCTCAAACCTTCTCCATGTGAGAAGAGGCTTTGCTCAACAGTGGCCATTTATAGACTGTTGATGATGATGACGATGAATCTTCATCCCACTTGACCAATGCTTGCAAAAATATGGCTGACCTTACCAGAACACTATTACGTCTTTATTTAAACAAGTTTATTAAATTGTTATCGATAAATTGCGCCGACGCTGTAATTGTTGAAAAAGGAAGTTCCATCTGATATCGATCAGCTGTAATTAATCGATTATATCGATTCGATTATACATCTAACATGAATTAGGTAAGGTAGTAATAGATTATTTATTATTACCTTTTCGTAGGTAATTGTTTTTGTGATTGCATGTTGTAGAAAGACAGACTATTGTCGAAAGGATGGATGAAAGTAGAGTAACGAAAGAAGTATACAGAGTGGATATGAATGGAGCCGTCGGCAGATGGCGCCCTAGACGGACATATAGTGACCAGATTGGCGATATATTAAAGAAGTGCCAAATTAAAAGTACCCTTAACCGACGAGCATGCATGAAAAGATTGATGACTGTTAATGAAGCGAAAGAGGTATGTAAGAATCGTGGTGATTGGCGTTCCTTAGTCTCTGCCTACCCCCATGGGAGACAGGCGTGAAGTTATGTATGTATGTATGTATTTTGACTCTAGCATTAAATGAAGCATCATCAACTATTGGGAGCTCATGACAGTCTTCTGCAGGACTATGGGCTTCTGGGCCTCCTGTACATAAAAGGCTTTGTTACCATACTACCATCACCTGACCACAGGACTCTCTTACCATGATGTAATTCTTAGCAGCTTCATACGTTTCGGAGCTATGGACAGTCAGGATTACCGGGGTCCCGGCTCATGGCAGGAGTAACAACGGTTTGGTTTTTATTCAGTAAGAAGTCATTGAGTGACTTTCCCCATCAAAAAAACTATTTTATACCTAATTTTTGGTCAACCATAAAAGTTCTGATCCCATGAAAATGAAGATCAAGAAATTCCTGTTCACACTTTTCTTGAAGTAGTTAAAGGAATTCAAGTGAAGTCTTGTAAGAGAGTGCCGCTACTAATAAATAAATGCGTGTCAGTTTGTAATGTCAATCGTCCATGGTAGGTAATGGCAATAGACGTGCAGTCATGTAATTACAGATGGCTGCTGGTCAGCTACCCTTATTTGTTTAATTGCATTAATAGATTTTGTTGTAAAATTGATTTCTTTACTATTAATTACTATATTTTTCGGTATACTCACGTAATTATGGCATGGCTTGAAACTAGTCGAGTTCCTCGTCTAATAATTAAATGGGTAAGCCGAAAATATATTAATTTTTTTACTATTATTAGCTATAAACTGTTGGACATTCCATTTTCGACAGCTGCTATGATTGGACATAGTAGATTAGTGCCATCTAGTACATAGAAAAACAGTAGTCCCTATTCCCACATTATCTAGACAACATTGTGCTACCTGAATAACTACTGCAGTAGAAATACTAGCAATTCAATGACCTCTACAATAACAACCTTAAAAATATAATCTCAAACTTCCATCAGATAGTTGTTCGCATTCGTTTCATGGAAACCACGTGACTTCAATTTGAAATACTTGTCCACATACATACTTGCAATGTACCTATATCTTATGTAACAACCAGCCTATGTGTGTATGTATGTATGTATAGAAGTACGAATCACATGATTTATGTCCTCAATTTACTTTATATGGTTAATATCATACCTACCTTGACTGCAGCTTTCACACCATGCGGTATACTCGTACTAAAACTATTCAGATTCGTCTGAAGATATGACAACGGCTCTATAGATCGCCTTGTCTTCCAGGGTATAGTGAGGGCACAAGGTCGCGCCTATGCTATGGGCCGGTCAAATAAAGACCACTTCGGGCTTGCCTTTTTGCATGAGTGCACTAAAACTTCGGCTAGTTGGGAGAGATGGCGAAACATTATGAGACGGTCAAGCAACTGATTCGGACTCATTATGTTATCAAGAGTGATACGGCTGAGAAAAACAAGTTCCGTGTACCTTATCATTTATCTTGTAATAGACGGGAAAACATATTTCTGATTTTTTTTTAGAAAGTTAATCGTCCAATTGCTTCGCCCGCCTTGGGTGAAGCGAGGGAATGTTAGAGACTCTGATCTTGTAACTGACTAGGGAATTGAACTTAAGGCCTTGTATTAAGCAGTCTTATCCTTAATCAAATGACGAATTATTAACATTCTCAACTTAATAATGACGTAGTCACGATTTGTGCATCGTTGCCATTCATAAGCCTTTACCGGAACAATAAGGTGAGCATCGTTGCTGTTCATGGCGTTCTGATGCATACAATTTATTCTAAGGATATCGTCATTGTATTGAATCATTCTTTGATCAAATATAAGATAGTTGATCGGAAGATACATTGCTCCATTCTATGCATATTTTTGTTTCACATTCCTTGGCTTAGAAACACCTTATACTGTTTTGATCAAGCTTTGTGAAACTATGTTATAACTTAGAACCGAGGTACTTAAAAGCATTGTTTAATTTCTTTAATGATGCAGTAGGTATAAACTGCGCTTAGTTCAACGTTACCCACCTTCTCTAAGTTCAATTAGGTACCCATTTCTTCCATTCAACACTTACATAATTATAAAAATATTCAAATATACTATGTAAAATTATTATAGCTAGCTAGCAGCGCGACAGTCGCCGCGTCGCGCGTCGCGATATGCTGCTCATGAATATGAGCCTCTAGCATGGCTTGAAACTAGTCGAGTTCCTCGTCAAATTATTACGTGAGTAAGCCGAAAACATAATAATTTATTTAGTATGTCTCACGAAAGTTACAATACAAATATACAATACAAATATACTATGTAATAGTCTCATGTTCTGTGGTCTCAGCCGCCAGAAAATTAACATGTACTTATTAAATTTTTTTATACGCCTTTGTCATTGGTCAAATTCTCATTAGTCCCTTTAAAATATAAATGTATTACTCAGTCAATTTAAACTCAATGTTTTGTAAATGCGTATAGAGTTAATTCTTAACCACTCGCACCTACACCACATCGAATTGGATCCAATCGTTCAAAGTTACATACGTCGTCGGTTAAATTAAACTGTAGGCACATGCGCAGTAAACCTAACTGGAATGTCAAGTATTTAGCATTTAGACTCGCGGAGTTCTTAAATCATGAGCTCGATATAAACTTGGTATTTACGAGTTTGATTGTGACTAAACGAGTTGGAATATTACGTGAACTTTCAACTCATCTATTGACATAACATAACATCATTTATCCCCGAAGGGGTAGGCAGAGGTGCACATTACGGCACTTAATGCCACTGTACAATGTAACACCCACTTTTCACTATTTATGTTATGGGTCCCATGTAATAGGGGTGAGCCTATTGCCATATACCGGGCACATTTCCAGTCTCCGTGCTACTACTGAGGTTTTTACAAACTCAGTAATACTTTGCCCGACCCGGGAATCGAACCCGAGACCCCTTGCCCGGCAGTTGCACTTGCGACTACTCGGCCAATGAAGCAGTCTCTATCATCATCATAGTTCTCTATTTACTATTGAATTTATATCTATGTAAAATTATAAAAAAATATCAAGGCTTTGAAGTTGCCTACATGTGGAGTGTGGATTCGGCAATCATTGTGCCGCTAGTTTTGTTGGCCAATGAGTTATTCCCTAAAATCAGGATC